CACTCTTAGGGCACTTTTACATATGCTTCAGTGTGTGTGTGTGGGGGGGGGGTATATTTTAATTAGAACAACTCAGAGAGCTGCTATAATTAAAGCACTGTTGCATCTCATGTATCAGCATTTCTGCACTTAAAAATGGTGGTGGGGGTGCTTGAACTAAAGCTCAGTTAATAAGTTTTGATTCAAGTGTCTCTGCCACCGTGTTTAAGTGTGGAGATACACAGGATGCTGTTAGAAAGTGGCAATAGCATGGTGATTGGAATTCCAGGGCAATGGAGCAGCCTCTACACTCATGTATAGGCACCCTTAGAATGGGCATTATTAGTGACACAGAGCAAGACTACAAATGCATTAATGTGCTTTAGTTAATGCACATTAAATCTAGTACCTCCATTGTGAGGTACTAGGAACATGTACATCCGCCTCTCTTAATGTGCATTAACTAAAGAGCATGGGGCATCTATACATATGACAGAGTTCTGCTCCCACACATACTATTCATAGATTCATAGATGTTAGGGTCGGAAGGAACCTCAATAGATCATCGAGTCCGACCCCCTGCATAGGCAGAAAAGTGTGCTGAGTTTAGATGACCCCAGCTAGATGCCTATCTAACCTCCTCTTGAAGACCCCCAGGGTAGGGGAGAGCACCACCTCCTTTGGGAGCCCGTTCCAGACTTTGGCCACTCGAACTGTGAAGAAGTTCTTCCTAATGTCCAGGCTAAATCTGCTCTCTGCTAGCTTATGGTCATTATTTCTTGTAACCCCCGGGGGCGCCTTGGTGAATAAAACCTCACCAATTCCATTCTGTGCCCCCATGATGAACTAATTAGCATACGTCAGAGCAGACTGGATTAATTGAGTCTGCTGCAACTCTGCTGGAGTGTGCTAATTAGCACTCTCCAGAAGGCTCTGCATCACATATATTCAGTGTCCCTGCATTTCAAAATGGTGGTGGAGGCATCTTAGAATGGTGGTGGAGGCTTATTGAACGACCTTTAGTTAAATTGCCCCCCCATGATTTTTAAAGCGTGGGATACTGAATACATGTGACACTGTAGGCACTTTAATTAGAGAGGCTCTCAGAGAAGTTCTGATTAAAGTGCTCCCCCCACACTGGAGCACATGTATAGATGCCCATGGTTTTTAAGTGACACTTAATGAGCATTAGGCTATTTTATTGCATATTAACTAAAGAGCCCATTTTTAAAGTGACACTTTAATGTGCATTTAAATAGTCTAATGCACATTAAAGTGCAAATGTAGACACACCTATACAGGATTATATTGCTGTATTAGAAGAGTAACACATCTCCAAAGGGCAAAATTTGGAATGATGAGTTGGCATAGCTGGCATTTATGAAGAGAGATGTTTATCAAGCTTAACTGCTATAAAACGTTTACTGTAATTTGGAAAGAATTCTTAGATTATTTTGGTAATTAAAAAAATCAGTCCTTGCACACTTATCTTTTCTTCTTCTATCCCTCTCTCTTCCTTCCCTTTTTTCTTTTCCCCTTGATTACTTACTATAACAGATATTCAAGTAGTTCATAGTTTATATATATAGTTGATATATACACATTTGTTTAGTATTGAAAATGAATAAAAACGCGAAGAACAGTTCAGGATTATCACAAGAAACAGATATCACAGCACAGCAGCTGTATAACCACTGTTAAAGATTCTGTACAACCACTGTTAAAGATTATGCAATTGTCATGGTAGATGATAGCTTTAAAAAGATATTTGAAAGAGGATAGTTCAGCTGATTTAGAGATTCTACTGGAATTTTGCATGATAGCACAAAAGAGAAAATGGAAAGATGTCTGTGGAAAAAGACTAACATCATTGTTGGAATAGAGATGAGCATTAGTGCCTGGATAATATTAGAAATGATAGGTAGAAGTGATGGCAACAACGACAAGTGATTTTTGGTTAAGTCTGGAGCCTAAGACAAAGATTTTTTTTTTCAGACCAAGGGGTGAGATTGTGTACAGATGGGGATAAATTGAAAAGATAGCTGGTCTGGGGGATATAGAGAACAATTTTTGTACTTTATGGCAAGGGAGAAGTTCCCAGATATAGGTATCTACATTTGGAAGTGGTAACTTATGGATATGGATAGAACTGTGCAGCATTTTTTTCTTTTTATTTAATTTTTTTGTGTGGTACTTTATTTACTTTTTATCTCCTTCTCCAGGCTTTTCTTAATTCCATATCTGGAAGTTTATCTACCAAAACTCCTACCAGATAGAAATGATCAGTGAATGTTGTCATTTTGTTCATCACACTATAAAAATAAGATTGTCTTAATGACCTACCTTCCTTTTGACCCATCATTTTTTCCACTACTTCCTATGATACACAGCTGCATGGTAAAGGGGGTCAAGAATTGTGCCTTCTGGGCATGTCTACATGTGTTGCTTTAATGTGCATTAGCTTAAGATAATGTGTATTAAGAGCACGCATCTACAAGTGTGCACCCTTAGTGCACATTAAAAATGGTGAACTTAGGCTCGTCACGCCTAAATTTGATACCTGCAAATGCAGTTAAAGCACATTAATGAATGTATAGATGTGTTAAAGTGCATTAACACTGTGTATCGACTGACTTGAGACTAGCTTTAGTCTGAAGTCAGTCTACACATGGCGTTAATGTGCTTTAATGCCTGCACGTGGAGATGCCTGTCTAAACCAGTTTAATGTGCACACTTAAATGCGCATGTAGACACAACCTCTGGGAACAAAAGTTCAAAATCTGGTAATCCCACCTTCATTGCATTTGGAACGTATTTTTGTTTTGTTGGCCTAGTTTTCTTTATGATCATGTGAGCATTTTTGTCATGAGACAACAGATTCCAAATAAACAAAACTGTGTTTGGTTTTCTATGCACAGCTACGTGATTTTTTTTCAAATGTGATTGTGTTTGATTAGACATGGCTATGGCAGTTACTAGTTTCTTACTTTCTTCTGCATGTATTTTGGCTATACTATGCTTATTGAGTGATCTGATGTCTATTTTCACTATGCTGGGAGTTGATTTTACTTGCATAACTCCCATTCAAAAAGATTATAATGTTGAGATTGTAATATGTATGTTTTTAACTTAACCTGAAGTATCAAGGGAAAAAAAAGGATATTATTATCTTCACTTGATAATATCATAGTTGAACAAGGGTGTCTTCATATGAAAGTAATAGGTCACATTTATTATGAATCATCAATCAAATGATGGGATACTTACACTTTCTTTTAAAAAAATCATAAGATTTAAGCAATAGTGGAAAGCAGATATTTTTAATAGCTATGTTCTATAGCCTCCACAATAGAGTTATGACTAATATGCTTCCTGTCAAGCAATAGCAGTATATTAAATCTTTTCTTTTATGTGTTTGTGTGTGCATGGTTGCATGACTATTATCAAATATTACTATTTAATTCTCTACTTCGTATATTTTGGTATTCAACAACTGTGTCATGATTTTCATTAAGGGACATGTTTTCAATTTGTATGCATGGATAGAGGAAACAAATCTTAACATGGATATCAAAATAGTTTAGATTTTTGTTAATTCATGTCTGATGAGTTTAAAGAGGGATTTACTATTTACTACAAAAAATGCTGGGCTTCCTTCTCATGAGCTGCATATATGACTGATAGATGGATTTACACAACCATAAGTCTGACTGTTCATGGAGACAGCAAGAATCTGTAGTTTTCGAGAAGTTCTACATGCTTCATTTATATATCTTCATTTCCTCTATGGACTAGTGTGTATGTATTGCATTCATGTCATTAACTACAGACTTGTTGGTGTCAATTTTGCTGTAGATGGAAGACAGATTTTGAATTCAGCCTTTTGGCTACTTTTGTGTTTGTAGCAATTTGAAATTAAATTTATGTTGTCTTTCTTGTCATTACAGAACAATCTTCATTTGTTAAAATTTTACAAAATGTTTTCCCTTAAAAATATTTTAGGAACCTCAGATTGCATTTTTTGCATTAGATTATATGGAATTTGTTTACCTAAACCAGTAAGGGCACCATAATCTGTGTGCCCCTATTCTATTTTCTAATCACTTAAGTGTTTCTCATTGTAATATGATCGCTTCTGAGGATACATGTACCCTCTAAAAAGCACAAAGAATTCAGCTGAAGCATGCTTGTAATGTTGGTGATAATGCCCCTGCTCTGTAGACAGAGGGTATTTTCAGTTTTGTCAATATGTCTCCTTTTAAGATCAATATCCTATTTCCAATGAGTTACAGTCTAATGAGCTATATAGCTTTGCCATCAATTAAGTCAATTGCTTTATTAAAGAAGAAAGGAGTTTTTTAAAACAAATCTTTACATATTGGCCATTTTTGGTTCCACTGAATTTAATGGGATGCTGCATGAACACAGGGATTTATACTAATATATCCTGAGGAAGAATTGGGGCCTATCCTGATGCAGAATTGGGGCCTAATATCTTCCAGACTGTATTCTGAAGTTTGGTAGGACTGTTCTATTCATGTAATTTAGAACTAAGTTATGTATGTCAGATGTAACATTGGCCACTATTTCCTGGACAAAACTAATGAACAAATTTTGCCAATAGGTGTGGCTTCCCTTCTTATTTCTGGTTAATAAAGACATTCACTTAAGATCAAGCAAATACTTAAATCCCGTAATCTGCCACCTCCTTTTTCCTGTGAACACAAGCACCTTAAAATGTTGGTGACATTTTGTTAAGAAGGGACAAATATTATATGAAAGGGATAGAATAAAACAATACTGTCCCCAAATCTCTATAAACTTGAGTTTCCAACTCCTTCCACTGGTGATCCATTGTTTCATTTCCCAGACCATCCAGGCAGGAAACAATATAGTTGTAAAAACTGGTTTATTTCTTAAAAATAAATACAAAAATATAAATATAAAACATTGGCAGATAGAATTTGATGAAATGAAGTTGCACAAACTTTTTTTTTAAACCAGCTGCATATCACACTTATTAACACCACATGTACATTTTGTTTGAATTTTAATGTACAGAACCAGGATATATTATTTTTTTCTTCTTTGCCTTCTTAAAAGCTGCACTTGCAAGGGTAAGACATGTACCTAACAGAAGCGGCTTGTACATGAGGTTGCTTAAGGGGGTATCACCCTGTTCAAAATTCTGAAAGTACGGTATCTTTTACTTACTAAAATGGACAACACTGAATTTCCATAGCTTTGGCTCTTGGAATGTGATTAAATAAAATGCTGTATATATTCCATGTGACATCCTACTAGAAAGAATAAATGACATTAATGAACAATTGAAATCAATATTAAAAAGAAAACCATTGTGCTGAGTGGCAGGAAAATCTTCCTGATTGTTAAATATTGTTGAGTGGAGAAGGTGTCTGTAAGGTTACTTCCTCTTAAATGAACCAAAACCATATTGTATTGTAGGTTAAGAAGCGTCTTTGTCACTTTCTCCTCCACCATACATTTCAGCTAGCTTATTAAACCGAGGGCCCCATTCTCTGAGGTAATCATAGTTTTGGTCTCCTTCAGTAGTACCAGATTCTAATGAACTCAAGGATTCAGCTATTGAATCATTTCCTTCATAGGCATATGTTGCAAGTGAGTCATACGGTGGTGCAGAGGGATCAATATCATGCTCTTTTAGCCTTTGGTTAATGAAATCTCGGACGTCTGTATTATCTGGGGCTGAAGGAGTCCTCCGTGGTATAAATAATGTTTCAGGGATAATATCCCGTCGAAGCTTCTTATCTTCAATAGCTGCAGGATTCCTCAGTGTGCCAATATCAAAGGCTTGGGTGTCTTCCTCTCCACCGCCTTCATCATTATAACTCACAATGTTGTCTCTGATGTCTTCTTTAGACAGGATCAGAGGCTCTTTCTTTCGCTGCCTCTTCAGAGCAGCAAACAGCACCACTATAACTTAAAAAAAATAGAACAGATAAACCAAAGATCTCAGTTTAACAAATTCTCAGTGGCAAGTTTAACAAATACAACAGATTGACTGTAATGTCTCCGTTCTGATTTTTGAGTCATTGATACATATAAAATCCTTCTTTGATGATTGACAAAACATTATTTTGCACACTTACACTACTTACTGTAGTATGAAACCACTGGCATGTCTACATATGTACTTTCAGTAAAAGGCCTTTTTAAAATATCTTGTGTAACTTTGCCTAGGGAATTTGTATGATCTAACATTGGTCATGTCTACTTTGAAGGTTAAGGATATTACCTCCCTTCTCCCACATGACTTTGAAGTAGAATGCTGTCTGGTATATATGTCTGATGACAAATGTACCAGTTTCCAGGGGCAATCTGCCTTCCTGTATGGAGGGAAGAGCTCATGTCTGTGTGTGTTGTTAGTATGTAGTATCTAGTCTGTCAACTGTTTATTCTTCTTTTGTCATATAAGTCACAAAGTTAGTTAATCTCCCTACTAAATAAACCTAACAGGAAAATATCAATCTTGACAAATTTTCATTTTTGTATTAGAAAAGTTTGAACATGAGAAGTTCTGGATGTGCAATTCTAAACAAAACTCTAAAATTTAATTTTTTAATTGTGTATTTCCAAGATTTCTCACACTTAAAAAAAAAAAAAAAAAAGTTGGGGAAGGGGGGAAAGAGGAAAAAAAAGTGAAGTAAAAGTGAGACAACTAACAGTGAAAAACATTTTCCCCCCTTATACTTCTTTTAATGTTTTCCAGTTAGAATAAAAGGACCTTCTGGGGGAAGAGAGTACTTGCATAGCATTATCACAAAAATACGGTAAATTAAACCGGTAGAGTCTTTCTGACTATGTATGAATGTCTGATGGAAGATGAACACGTGAACATTTTTGCTGAAGAGACATCCAGAATCTAGACTGTAAGGTGCAGATTGTGTAAACCTGGATGAAGTATCTTCCCCTCTATTCTGGAAGAAGTAAAGAAGCAGCAATCAAGTCTTGTAAAAAAAATGTACCTCACTGCTACAATGCCGAGGCCTGGGAAACTGATTTGTCTCGTGTCAGCTGGGCTGAGAAGAACTAGTTATGCAGTCCTCTCTCTCTCCTGTGCAGCACTTTTGTGGAATTAAAAGAGTCAGTGGGAAGGTAAAGGTTTGCCTGACTATGGGATGAAGAGAGTATTGCATATGATTATAGCTTGAGTCTTCCCCTAGACTCTTAGGTCCCCTCTACATATACAAGTAAAGGTGTGATGGGATCTAATGCACAATTCACACAGAAGTGCTTCGTGCCATGCCATACATTAAGAACCTTTCGTGTCTTATTGCCAGTGCAGAAGGAGTCCAATGCCAGGCTCTACCTGCAGCAGTAAGAGACAAACTCCCATGACTGGGAGCCATATGCACCCTAGTTGAGGGGCTCCTAGTCATGGATGTACCTCATGTACCCCTGGGGCCAGACGATTACAGCAATATTGTAGTCCTGAGGGGGGTTTCCACAGCCCCAGGGTGAGGGGATCATCCCTACAGCAATCCTCTGGCCCCAGGAGTTTCCAGTACCCCAGATACTCCTAGGCGAAACCCCTTGACCCTCGGAATTGGGGCTGCCATGATCTCTAGGACTCAGGGGTTTTATGCTGGATATGGTTCAGGGAGCTGGGAGCCCCCCAGCAACAGGGGAGGCCCTGCTACAAGTGAAAATTAAAGTTTGATAGCAATCAGCTGTAAAGTTAGTACATACTTTCAAGGTATAATTTTAGAGCTGACTGTGGCTTTTATATAAAAAGAGATACTTGCTAAGACTCTCCACTTTTTTTTCCTGGAGTCCTGGAAGGTGTATGGCTGCGAAATGTGTCTAGTGACAGATGTACCAGATCTTGAGGAAGACTGCCTTCATGTATGGAGGCGGAAAGAAGAGAAGCTTATGCCCGTTTGTCAATATGTAAGGTTGTTATGGTGTTACAAGAATGGATAAAGTGATACTGTGCAATATGGTTTAGAGATGTCTAAGAAGCATTGTGAACTGCCCTGAGCTCCATGTTGATAAGTAACTTTGCTTCCTTGGAAGAAAAAAGTGACCTTGCATTCAGGTGTAATCTCCACATAGAAGATACATTACCAGAATGATTGTTGGGAAAACTGAGGGAAAAAACAGAACCACTTCGCAGAAATTTGTTGGATCCTTTTACCAATTAAGAAAGGATCTGATCAGCATGGTAACAGCTACCTCCAGAGCCAGGGGATTTCTTCTAGGCTTATACATGGATCATAACCATGACTGCATGCTTCTAAGGTATTTTCTAGTGTGCAGGAGGCATTTTTTTCTAGGCTGAATAAGACATGGTCTAATTGTGATAGGATTATCTTAATTCTATGCAATATGCTCCAGTAAAGTCTGAAACTAGTTAAAGTCTGCTGAAAAATTCTAAAATATCCATTTAAACTCCAAACTACAACTAGGTTTGACTTTTTGGGTGTTCACTATGAGGCCTTGCATGTGGATCTGATGGAAAAAGTTTGGAGAGTTTCTGCTACCTGCTAGGCAGAGCTGCCCTTCACTAGCCACTCAGACTGGTAAAGGTGAATCACAGTGTTTCTTATGAGTTGGTGTAACAGAGAACCCTGGCCCTGTTACTAGAAAGTGGTGCAGCTCCTTTAAGGGCAGCATTTTTAGAGCACAACCAGTTGGCAGAGCATGGGTTGAAAGACAGCCCTGTAGGCAGGTCAGCTGACTGGGGCATCACATTACTGGGAGAGGACTCAGACCATAGCTGTATAAGCCCTGGGGTTGAGCCACGTGGGGTGAAGGGGCCAGCCCTGAGAGTTGTGGCATGCAGGGATCCTGAATGCCCAAGGAGGCTGGAGAAAACAGCTCTGCAGCCTGGGGGACAAGACAATGAAAACTGGGGACAGAAGGGCCTGGAGCCTTTATTTTTCTTCTTATGTTATAGCTCAGGGACTTAGTGTTTCCATTGTAATTTATACTGGTGGTTTGGGCTGAGACTCTAAGGGGTGGTTTTTGGAGATCTCATTAATATCTTCAGGGGTGTGTGCTTGTTTTGAGCCCTGCTGGTGCAGGCTCAAGGCAAAGAGTTGGGTTGAGGCCCAGAATCCAGGCCTAGAGCAGTGGGCCTGGTCTGCAGGACCAGCCAGAGTAGAGGGGTGGAGGCAGGGAAGACTAAAACCCCAACAAAAATGGAAAAGAACAGTCAGGAGTGTCCTGGAGATACCAGGACAAGGGTCCCACCTGACCGGAGATTTGAAATCTGGGAGGCATGGGGTGTAGGGGAGGTATGGAGCCATGCAATTAGCCCTTAAGGCAAGAGATCCACACCTCTAGGTATTCCTTGTAATAAGACCAGACCTCAGAAGCCCTGGGGAAGTCTCCTCTTGCAGATCAAAAGAAACATCAACACATGGTGGGTGAGTAAAGGGAAGATTGTTCCCAGGGTGAACAAGGAAAAGGGAGATTTTGGGGGCCTCCAGGGGCTTGTGACTACCCTACGATGGTCCTCTGTTACAGGTGGGTTACTCCTACTGTGAAAATCCCAGTGAAGGTTCTAGGGTCTGAGGAATCCAAACTACTTTGGTTGTGGTCTCTCAAAGGAAGAAATAAAAAGTAAAGTGGAACTTCAGAGTGCAGACTGCCTGCCTTAACCACTCCATCGAAATGTAAGTCTGTTGCCTCAAAAAAGGATAAGCTAAAGAGGCTGCCAATGAAAGATACTTCTTTAGACACTCAAGTGCTTCCTTCACAGCTCTGGGCAGTGGCATGTGAAAGGCAGAGCAGATGCCTTTCTGGTTAGGATAAGGGTAGTACTTCTGCCTCATGGTTTAGCACTACATACATTTTCAAAGAGCATAGGATGGCTATTGAGAGAGTGAAAATCCTCACCGTTTCAAAATGTTGTCTCTTCAAAAGGAAGATGCTTCATTAGACTATGCACTTCCCTAGGAAAGCCAGAGCCCTGTAACCAGGAGCACTCTCTCAATGACAGCAATCACAGTTACTGATAAAGATTCAGTGTCAGTGGTACAAATTTAGTAAAAAAAATTCTAAAATCATACCAGGCTAACAAGGTGTGGTAGCTGAATATTCAGAACTGTAAACTAGTAAAGAATTAAGACTTCTTCCTCATCAAATCCAATCTCTTTAGTTCCTAATTTCCCATCTTATCATCTTGAAAGCTGCTTCTATGATTAAGAAAGATGGCATACAGATGGCATGCAGAAATATTTTATATCATTGGAAGGGAAATTATACTGTCTTTCAGCCTTATGTAAAAACTAGTGCCTGAAATGCAATCCTGGTCAATAATGGGGAGGGTGATTTTGCTAGGTAAGGCTGTTACAAAATTCCATAAACTCATACAAGGACTCATCATCCTCCTCCACTGAAATTCAGTAGAGACTGAACCATCCACTTTATAAGGTCCTGGAAGCCCCTTGAGTCTGTAGAGTGCCAAAGGAAGGACAAATGCCTTTTCAAGGGACTACAGCAGATTAGGATCAAGAAGCTCCTCCATTCTGGAGACTGTGTGAAGAACCTTCCTATTCTAGGGACATAACGCTGATGGCTGTGTAAGGAAAGACTGTGGGACTGAGTAGACAACTATGAGGCCTGTGCAAGTAGGCAGCTATTCGATCCAGCTTTGGATCTGGCCGCTTCGGATGCCAGTGATCCAATCGAGAGCTCCAGACCAGGTTCCTGCTTTGATCTGGCCGAAGTGGCTCTGAAGCTTCAGAGCTGCCTCAGAGACCCAGCCATAGGGTACAATGAAATATCTATAACTTTGTTGTTTTTTGTCTGATTTGGATGAAACTTGCAGGGATGAGAGCATGAAGCATGCCAAGTTTCAAAAAGATCAGTGCAGGGGCTCAGGGGGAACTGCACCCCAAATTCCTGAAAGCAAAAACTCATGTCACATGTATGTGTTACACCACAGGGTGGTGAAAACTGGAGGTGTGGTCACACCTGCTGAGACAAGGAAGTCTGCCAAGTTTCAAGGTGATAAGTGCAGGGTTTTGGGGGGGAAATGCACCTCAAGCTGCTGACAGGCAAAATTTGTGATTGATTCCCCATTTTACCCTATGGCTGAACCTCTGAGGTGGTTCTGAAGCTTTTCTGAACTGTTTCAGAAAGCCTAAAGAAGCCAGTGCTTTGATCCAGACATGCTGCTTCGGACGCCGAAGTGTCCAAAGCTTCTCCGGGTCCAAAGCATGGTCGAAAACCTCGTACAGCCCTAACAACTATGATTCCAGGGAGTGGGACCTATACCTGGAATCACTTTGAATGTGGCCAGAAGAATTACAAAGGACATGAATCCTTCACCCAGTAGGCCAAAATCAGAAAGCATGATACAGGAGTCTAGATTTCATAGATTTAGATTTCATAGATTTCTAGGGTCAGAAGGGACCTATTAAATCATTGAGTCCAACCCCATGCTCTGGGCAGGAAAAAGCACTGGGGTCAAGTAACCCCAGCCAGGTGCTTGTCTAATCCCTTTTCTAACACCTCCAAGGTAGAGGAAAGCACCACCTCCCTTGGAATCCCATTTCATATTTTGGGAACTCTCCCTGTAAACAATTTCTTCCCGATGTTCAATCTAAATCTACTCTCCTTCAGTTTATGGTCATTGTTTCTAGTAAGCCCGAGGGGTGCCATGTAAACAGAGTATCCCTTAGAGGGCTAGTTCATCTTTCCAAAAGGATTCCCCTGGCCATTATATGAAGCACACAGGTAAGTGTGTCCAAAACAGCAGTCATCCTTACAGTTAAAAGAAGACAATCTGACAGAGACCTCAACTAGTGATACCTTGTACCCAACCTGAATAGTTTCCTAATTGGAATAAGATCGGAAGCTTATGGATTTTGTAGAGACAAAGAAAAAATGGGGACTCTAGTTCAGGCTGGACAGTGAGAATATTCAATGTTATGAAATGTGGAACTACGTGAGATATCAGGACTAAAAAGCTGGACAGGCAGGCAGGAAGTTATTGAGGTCCCACCAGGTCTCAGTAGAAGAGATAGTACTATTCCTGTAGCCCTTGGTGTTGGGGCAGAAGATAAGCAGATTATCAGTTCTTTTCTGACTTAGGCTCTGTCATAAATCAGAGGAGTCTTTTGGGTGCGTGTACTTACATCTTTTCAGCACCTATTAAATATATTTTCTTCAATCAGGTGCCCGTGCCAGGACATTGATGCCTCTAAGCAACATTGTGATTCATGAAGAGAAGGAGAATACAGCCTCCTCTAAGAAGCTCCAGGATGATGATATTTTCCTGGAAGTTTATCCGGATCTCCAGCCTGCTTTCACCGAATGAAGATTTCTCTAGTATCAAGAACTCAGATGTTCTCCTCAAGAGGGAGCTGGTATACCCAGGAAGTCTGAACCAAGCCAAAACCTGCACTTTGTCTTGCACTTCAAAACCATAGGTTTATTTAGGAGGTGAATCTAGAGCCTATCTTCTCAGTCTTCCTGAGACTGGGAACTGAATAATTTGCAGATATCTTATTTCCCAGAAATATGAGAATTCCCTAAACCACAAAAGCACTTGGCATACCCATCTGTGGCAAGCACAGTCCTTTTTCAGGAGGGACAAATCTTTATACTAAACAACCTGAGTAAAGTCATGCCAATGCCAGAGAGAGAAAAATGGTCAGAGCAAAGTGGAAAAAAAGAAAGAGAAAAGAGGGGAAAAAAATGCATTAAAAATGTAGTAAAATGAAGGTTTTTTAAAACGAGACGTTAATCAAGCTAACAGACTGGAGAACTTCTGTATTAAGCCAAGGTAGTTAAGAGGAACTGAGGAATGAGAAGTGTACAGTATCCCTTACATCTCTGAATATCCCAAAGCCAGAAGAAGAGGCGGGTACACAGTTAAGGCAAAAAAAAAATATTCATGTTCAAGTGCTTAAACAAACATGAAGCTCACTGTGTAGGGTACCTGTGACGCACTCAGGAGAACTACAGGATGGAGAGACACAACTATGCTAGTTTACAAAGGAAGAAATTCTATTTCCCTAATTAAGGCAGAAGCTTCGGTGAATATAAGATGAAAAATACCAAGTACTCTCTCAGCCATTTCATACCACTTCTATCTCATTTCCTATTAGAAAGGGGTATAAGATAATGTTTTCATATGCGTGAAGAGGTATAAGTCCTAGAAATCAATTATTTGACTGAAAATAAATTCTCTATTAGTAAAAGCTAGCGTGAAGACTCAAGTCCCAGTTCATAGATTTGAGTTTTGCTATGCAACTCAACCTTCCTAAACCTGTCTCAAGAGAACACCTTCACTGTAAACAGCTGCACACTGAGTTTTGTTGAAATAATTTAACAACCTGACACTTCCATTGGTTTTCACCTAAAAATAGGGTTTTGGAATACTGAAGTTCATAAAAGTATACATAATCTCATCTTTATTTCCACTGTATTTGAACCATATCACACAAAACAGAATCACTACACATATAAAGTTATATAGCTTACAACTCACCAGGCAGACTAACTCTGAAGTATTAGCTCATTTCTTACCTAGCAGTATAATGATGCAGAGGAGAATGGCAATCAGAGCACCTGTGCTGAGGCCAGCAGGAAGGAGCAAAGCTTCAGCATTACAGGACTGCATGTTCCCTTGGCTATCACAAGCACACACTCGAATAGTCAGCGTGCCCGTACTGCTCTGGATTGGGTAGTCGTTGTCTGATATCACCACCGGTAGGAAATAGGTACTTATTTCATGTCGACTAAAGCCATTCCTTCTCGTCAGAATTCGGGCAGTATTATCTAAAACAGTTAAAAACATATATGGCTAGGATCTAATATAACACTGTAAAATGCTTGTTAAACTATCTGTATATAGCAGATGCTTTGTTTCACTAGAGTATTTTGAAAATTGGTACTCCTTGACACTAGATCCTTCTTTTCTGTTACCATTTGAACGTGATGAAAAAGTAATTTTTCTATTTAGATCTATGCTTTCCCTTGCCACTTTATGTTTCTATAGTGCCTTATGGCCAAAAAAGGCAGCTGTGATTCTGCTATCATAAAACTCTAGGGGAAAAATGAAGTTGTTCACTGCTTCCCCAAAGCCTGATGATGTTATGCTTATTCACATGCAGTGCATAAATTATTCAGTGACCACAGCTAGTGTTCCTGAGTGAAGCTGCAGCAAGCCAGAAAAAATATCTTTCACTTTTTGTCTGATGCACGTATTCTTTTCAAAGATTCTTAATTCAAATGCCTTCTGCTAATACCGAGAGTAATGCCATCTATAAAATAGATACGCAATTCCCTAGAGTAAAACACCATCAACATCCTGTTGCACAGTATACTGAATTCCTTATCACCTAAATTTGAAATTTGCTTGTAAGAGTTATTGTCTCAAGGATCTAAAAGTTTGAATTTAAATGCTGCATTCCTAAGCAGTCTAGAGAAGTGAGCATACCTATGAGATGTTTTTGTATGTTCAGTGCAATGTTTTACCACTGTTATTTACCTGTAATAAAGAATAGTAAAATAAATAAATGTGCAGTTGGCCACCATACTAGTAAGAGGTGACGCTAAGAGGGAGAAAATGCAGAAAACCAAACAAAATCATGTTTTAGCTCTACTAGGTGAGTAGTTTGGGCATCTGCCTAGAAGGTGCCAGACCAAGTTGTAGGCCCCCCATCACCTAGAGAGTGATTTCAGAACACAGTTCTCTAACCACAAGGCCATAGGTTAGGCACTACTCAGGTTTTCCTGCAGCTCTTCCATTGAAACTGAACCACTGCACTTTCTATTTCATATTCATTAATTAAGGTGGGTGGAAATGAGTAGGATTTTTTTTTCCTTCTAGACTCACTTATCTCTCTCTGCCCTCCACCAGGTCATCTTCAAAAGGAGAAGCTTGGATAGGGTCCTGGATAATGTATAAGGGCATGTGTAGATGAAATGGGGGCCATAACCTGAATTTAGTTTAGGGCCCCTAAAACCCCCATGTTGTGCACACACCCAAACTTACCTGCCCCTCTGGTGGCAGGAAGGGGAGGGCAAGCTGTTAGCAGGTGGAGTGGTCCCTGGGCTGCGGACAGGGGCTGGTGTTTGCCTCCATGGCAGCGGCACCCCCCCCGCCCCCCCCAGGTGGCTCCTGCCCACAGGCACTCTGCTCGAGTGGTCCTGGGGGGAATCACAGCTGCGAAGGGAAGCACTGGGCCCACCTTCCCAGGCTGCTGCCAGTCTGCCTGCATTGGATTCCTGCAGTTCAGGAGCCCAGTGCTTTGCTCCATGGCTGTAGGGCAGCAAACTAAAACTCCTCCTCTTCCTGCAGCTCACCCATTGAAACTGAACCACTGCACTTTTTATTTCATATTCATTAACTAAGGTGGGTGGAAAGGAGTAGGATTTTTTTTCCTCCTAGACTCACTTATCTCTCTCTGCCCTCCAGTAGGCCATCTTCAAAAGGAGAAGCTTGGATAGGGTCCTGGATAATGTCTAAAGGCATGTGTAGATGAAACCCCCGTGTTGTGCACACACCTGAACTTACCTGCCTCTCTGGTGGTGGGGAGGGGAGGGCAATCTGCTAGGAGGAGTTTTAGTTTGCTGTGCCTTAAGTCATTTAAGATGCATTATGCTGCTGAATTTGCTACAGCAGCTGGAATTACTGTTCAATATGCCGCCAACACGTGCAAATACCAATACCATTAAAGTGGTGCAAAAGCATTTAACCCACTTTAAAGTGCCATGCACACATGCTCCTCGTTTCATCTACACATGGCCTAAGTAGTGGCATGGTAGTTAGAGGCTGTTCCAGGAAGTCAGAGAGCTGTCATTTTAAACTTCCTCTCCTGTGTAAGGTGTTCCTAGAACCTGGGCTTCCTGGTTTTTTGTGTGAGTGCTCTAAATGATACCATCAAGTCTACAAGAAAAACTACAGACCTTGATCCCCCCACTACCTAACCCAGGGACTTTTTACATGCTCCCTAAAATCCACAAACAAGGGAACCCTGGCAGACCTATCATATCCAACCATGGGACCCTAACTGAGAAAATATCAGGTTTCGTTAAATCAATCCTAAAACTGCTTGTCACCCACAGAGCAAGTTTTGTACAAGACACTACAGACTTTCTACAGAAACTTAAAAACATAGACCACCTTCCCAGC